TATAGTTTAGTAATGATGCAATAGGGTCACGTTAAGGGTGACAACTTCTAGAGGGATTCTGGGAGCTACACCCAAAACGTTTGAGGGCTGCATGCAGACTGCGGCTCAAAGTTATACACTCTTCATATAGTTGACTTATCTCAGTTTTCAAGGACTTCGTGGTCTCCAGATTTGTGGGACTATAACTTTTATTTTCCAAGATAACATAATAACTCGCAGCATGATCCTTTGAACTGGACATCCTAGAATTTAAACCTAGACCTTCTGTACACAAAACATATGACTTCCTGCTGTACCCTGGCTCCTTCTGCTATGTGCCAGAGAACAGTGATTAAATAAGTGCTAAATAGGAGATCAATGTGCAGGAGAACAAAAGTGCCACCCTTCCAAATCTTTATGCATCATTGTATAACTTTGCATCCTGCAACAACAGTGTTCTTACGAAGCAAGATCTGTTAGGGCAATGACCTTTCATGGAGGCGCAGATATTTTTAAATTCCTTGCAAGCTGCTTGGATCTGCATCCTTCCAACCACCAGATGTTCTATCCGATTTCCTGACCATGTCTTGCGACTTCTGGGCAGGAAGTTCTGCTGAAAAGCGATAAGTTGGTTTCTCAGGAAGGCACCAGATTCCAAGCGCCTCAAGAGGCAAATTAAACAAAGGTGGGGATTAGCCCTACCTTAACAGCTCACAGGACTCAGATGTTGAAACACACACTCAAAGCCCCCCAAAGCCCCCATTGTTGCAGCTCTTCCTCCATTGGGCAGCTGTGGTACAATTCATCTTACAGCTATATTAGATTAACTGACTTTGTTGGACACTAAGAATAGCTAACACCATTTTAAGAATATAAGAACTTGAGAAATCTTGGTGCAAGGGGAAGTCCAGTGGGCTATCAGCCCAGAGATTTGAGCTGGCTGGAAATGTGAGAGGTGGGAGAGAATTTAAAGGATCCATATTTCAGAGTTGAGGAAGAACTGTGTATATGAAATGGATTAACTCTCACCAGCAAGTAAAGGTGCCTGTTCTCCTGCCTTGTTGTCCTACCTCTGTCTAAGGATCAAGAGATCTTTTGGAGGGAAGGAAGCCTGTTTTTAGGCACCACCACTTCAGAGTACAGAAGTGGTTCTCATTGTCCAATGCTGCTGCCTATAAATACTAAAAATCCCACAACATACAAAATCAGCCATTTCAGGGAAGGTGGGTTCTAATTTAGACTTCTCCCTGACTTATTTATTTTCTATAAACTGTAGATGAGGGGGGAAATGGGAGAGCTGTCCATCATGGAAAATCGTAACTGCAATCTGGAGTGGTTGCAAGTCAAGTCACAGTTTGACCACATCCAATGAGAACTTTCTTCGGTGGCTTCTCTTTAATCGGGCAACACTACCAATTTATCTTCAGCATTGATGAATTCCTACTCCTGTGTGAAAGCTTAAAATGTGAGCTTCCCACACACCTGGGAGGAATTAATCTGGACTCTTGTCTGAGATTATCCATGACCGTGGGGAACTATGGAATAAGGATTTGGTCACTGGGTGGCAATCCCGCTACCTACAAAACATGAATACTGTGCAAAATCCAACCTTCAATTTCCTGTTAAGTCTTCCCCCCTGCAACATTTTTTCTACTTTATTCTTAGGATGCTTTCAAATGTGCTTGGGAATCTTTATTGTTGTGAAGTGATAAATAAAAAAGATAAATAAAATTCAATTAAATTTAGTTTTTGACTGGCCTTATCCACTACTTTTTTCAGAGTATAGCCTCTGCCACACCACTCAGCAAAAGTTGCATACCACTATTTTAAATATGTGTGTGCGTGCACACACACACACTCACATTCCAGTGACACATTTTTCTCAGGCAGGCACTTGTTCTCCACAAATCATTCCCAAGGATGTCCCATCAGTTCCACGTATTGTGTGTATTCACAGCTGCAGTTTGAGCGCAAGAGTAAATACGAAAGGAGAACTACCATCTTAAGAAAGTTTTTGTAAATAAAGCTGCATAGAATAACCAGCCTGGGAAGAGATTCTTCTCTGGTTGTTGTTCCCAGCTTCTTTTATATTAATACGCTTATATTTATTCCCTCGGGAATTGAAGAAAACTGTTTCCAGTTTATTGGCTGGGATTCAAGTTAAATTATGATACTCCTAGCAACTTGAGGTGAGAGCAAGAGATAGCAATGTACAGAGAAAGACAGCAGAAGTCATCAAGAGTCTGGTAATGGCCTGGCTTTGGGAATGGCCACTGGCTATGGGTCAACAGAGGACACTAAAAGAAACCTTTGCTTCATCTTTGCCATCTCTTCATGGAGGAAATGCTGCTCTTTTAAGAAGCTGCCGACATGTGGAAGGGCTGTGAACTTCTCAATCTGGAGAATTTCATGCATTACCCCCAGCCTATTCAGATTTGTTGCCCAGATGGACTTGCCCAACAGGAAGATGCAGCCAATTCCTGGACAACACAGTTCTGATTTACTGTACTGGTATGAAGACACATCAGCCCTGCAGATCTATAATAATCCATTCCTAGAAAAAATATCTCTGCTAGCTTATCCTTCTGCTTCATTGGTGATCATGTTGATGTGAGAAACTGGATATATTATTATATCTGATCAGGTCACATTTATTCTTCATCCTACACCATGAGCAGCATACAGGTCCATGATTCCCATACATCTTACTATGTGTATGTATATGCGCCTTCAAGTCAGTGTTGACTTTGGGTGACTGCCTAGACAAGTCCCTGCAGGGTTTTTTTGCAAGATTTCAGAAGTGGCTTCCCACTGCCTCCTTACTAGAGCTGAGAGAGAGTGACTGGCTCAAAGTCACCAGCTGGCTTCATGCCTAAGGCAGGACTAGAACTCACATTCCCAGGTTTCTAGCCTGATGCCTTACCCACTACACCAAACATCTTACTGTATAGCTTACTAGAATGCACATTTATTTATTCATGACAAGGAGCCACTGAGGAGTCCTCCATGGAATCCTTGCTGCTTTTTGAGTCTTTCTGAAGTCAGCAAAAAGGGTTAATTGAACCTATTTCACCCAGATATGAAGATCATCATCATCATCATCATCATCATCCAATGGTGCTCATCAACTGTGAGCTGGCAAACATCATTTAGGGATTCTTGAATTAAAAGTCTCTATGGTCTTCTCCATCCAAGTGTCTCAGATCAACTTGGGATGGTGGATAAGCCAAAGGGTGGGTTGCATTGCTGCATGGAGTTAGCAAACTTTACTAAAACACGATTACTTATCAACGAAATAATTCCCAAGCTGTTTAAAGACACATTACTCAAGTTTAAATGACATTTAAGGCCATAACAAATCTCCATGGAAATCAATCCTAAACTTTTTGTCTTCAAAGTAGGTTCTGAATTTAGCTATAAACACATAGGCTGAAAACAAGAACATTCAACAAAATTCTGATACAGTTAAAAAAAATTCTGGCGGATTCTTTTGGAAAGCACAGGGGACCCGCCTTAGTGGCTGAGGGTCTGTGTTTCATATATAAAGTACCATGTGCCACTATTTCCCTAGGTTCAGCGCCCATCTACTGACTTAATTTCAAATTCTGCCTACTTTGGCTCCAGGCCCATTCACTTTCTATTGCTGGAATATGACCTATCAATATGACCCATTTTGATATCAAGAAGCAAGGAGTTCCACACCCATGCACCACACTGAAGATAGACCGATATCAGAATTCACACTAAATCTTTCAGCTGCTGTCAGAATTCCTTTTGTAGATGAAGCAACAGACCTGCAGACAAACAAACTGAGTCCTTGTTCAGCCATGGGTTTCACCTGTTCCAATGATTTAGGTGGACTGCTCATCTTTTTATTATTATGTATTACATTTACATCCCATTTTCCCCCAAGGACCTATAAAATTGCTTCACAACAATCCCTTTTTATCTTCATCACAGTAATCTGGGAAGGAAATAAAGAGAGGAGTGATACAAAGCATCCAGCAAACTTCATGGCTTGTAAGGAAAAATTTGAATCTAGCCCCCCTTTACTATTCCATCCCATTTTAGCTACTACACTGTAGTGCATCTAGCAAAGCAAGTATCCTGGGACAGCCAAGCAGCTGCAATCTGCAGATTGAGGGGACACTCAGTGAAGTCTTGCAAAGTGGGTGAGGCCATGTCCTATACATTGGTGGGGCTGAGTTCTTTATTTATTTGTGATGGGCCTATTTTAGGCCATGCAGTCTTCATCTTGTACCTCCATTTGTTGCACTGACTGGTCATGGACTGCAAAAAAAATGAAGTTGAATTATAGTCTTCATTGGCTTCTCAAGTCAACATGATGGAATACTATACAATCCGTTTCCAGGAATCATGGTTATAGGAGACTTCCAGTGCCACAAAAAGAGCAAGGCTAAAGGCAGACTGGGAGTTGAAGTCCAACATCAGAAGGCATCTGATGGGGAAAGACTGCCTTTAGCACCCAAGTCAGACCCTTGAGAGGGAGGCCAGTTAACTTGATGCTATACAAGGAAAAAGAGAAGAGGATGAGCATAAGCTTGGCGGCTTGACTCTGTTCTGCTCCACTGATTGCATAGGATGGGCTAAATTCTCCACTTCAGACAGTGCCTAGCACCATATTTGGCAGTAAACCGATGGTATACAACCGCAGTCATGGTAACACCCAGTAGAGGACTGGCTAAGCAGGCTGTGCCAGCTAACATTGATGCAGAACCCAGCACCCAAAGTTGGGAAATGGGTCATTTTATCATGCCTGGTGGACTTGTAAAAAAGCCAGAAAATTTTGGATTCAAATATACACAATGATACACAAAGAACTTTAAAGATCAATGTTCAACTGAAACCAGAACTT